AACGAGAAGGGCATGAACCTCAATCACTGGGATGTGAAGCAGGCGTATACACACGCTACGCTAGACGAGGAGGTTTTTCTGAGGCTCCCCGCCGGGTGCGGGGACGAATCGCATAAGATTGTTAAGGCTGAGCGTGCGATTTATGGTCTGAAGCAGAGCCGTAGGTAGTGGGGGTACCACGCTGCCGATACGCTAGTCGAGAACGGGTTCGAGCGATGCAAGGCGGACCCGTGTGTTTTCCGCAAGATGGTAGACGAAGTCGTGGTGATGATTATCGTGATTTATGTGGATGACATTTTGGTGGCTGGGTCTGACGAGGATTGCGAGGAGTTACTTGCTTCTCTCAACAAGAAATTTCCCACCAAAAACCTTGGAGAGTGTCAACGGTTTGATGGGTGTGCCATCGAGAGAGATGTAGATGCTGGGACTCTTAGAATCTCCCAAACCGCGTATATCGACAGCATGGTTGAACGCTTCGATGTGCAATCAACTTCCCGCATCCCCGCTACCCCTGGTGCCGATCTAGGGCAGAAGCGAGAGGATGAGGAGGGAGGGGAGTGGCCGGTGAAGGCTCTTTGAGCAATCCCTCTTTCGTCCGTGTGAAGGACGGCCGTCGACCTCTCGTGAAGTTAATACATCACCAAGTCTCACCCGATACATATGTGGCGTAGGCCGCAAACATATTCTTCCCACTCCAGCACCTGTGGAGGGTTAGAAAGGTCCGGTCTCTCTGGCCTACCTCGCCGTCGTCCCTCTCCACCGCTGCGCCGTCCTCCACCCGCTCCTCCACCAGGTACGCGTCCAGCACGCCCTCCCCTCGTCCTCCACCCTGCCTCCCCGCACCTCCTGGGTCCCCTCCTCCACGGCCCGTGCCTCGTCATGCTCTCGATGGGTGGGCGGTCCCTGCGATGGCCGGCAATCCATGTTGACGACGTGTGCTGTCCTCGATGCTCCGCATGTGGTCGATGGCGTCGAGGCGTTCCGGAAGGAACGACTGTCTGTCGCCGATTTGTGGGAATCATTCAAGGGAGAAGGACTCGAGGGGTTCCATCTCCAGCATACCGCACCGGCTGCAGGCAGTGAACGATAAGTCTAACCGTAGCCCCTCTTGCTGGTGTCGATGTCCACGAAGCTGCGCACCCTGGCTCTTGTGGATGGTGATGCCGAAGGCGAGCATCAATGGCAACTGCATGCTGAAGCAGCGGGCATTGGAAGAGTCGTTCGGAGTACCGCTGCTTCTTCGGCGACCCACGGGCGGTTGGTCGTCCATGGGGACGATGGAGGTTTGTGAAATCAGTTTGGCCTTCGCCCCACACCCTTCGTAGCGGCCCCAGAAGGTTATGAGGACCCCTGTAGTTCTCAACACGAACCCACACGACCTTCGGCAGTTCTGGCAGCGCTTGTTCAACCGCCCACTGCATATGAACCACTCCCCGATGGCTCCGCTGGCAAGGTCGGCCGATACCCAAACGCTGTTGTTGATCCCAAATGCCGTTGTTATGAACGCACGCGCATCTACGACGAAGGGTATATGCGGCTCCAAACCTCTGAATCTTTTAGAGGACACGGCATCGTAGCTGGCGTGCGTTGCTTTGTTTCTCGCGATGGGGGTTCAGCGAGAGGTCAAACGCCGCCAGTTCCACTTGCCGGCGGCTACGTATGTATGTGGGGAGGATGTGGAGAGCGTCGTCGAAGCTTTCACGCTCTACATCCCCCGACGGAGGTAGTAAACCTGTGCGCGAGAACGTCCCAGGCGGCTTCGGTCTGCTGCCCTCGGCGACACGCAGCAGTGAGTCGCGGGAGTCGGCCTGCTTCGGACCAAGTTGGCCCATGACCTGCGTGAGCTCGACAGCGTTGTTAATCACCAACCACGCCTGGAGTCCTTGCAAGCTGAGGCCGACTGTCGAAGGTGTCCGGCTTCACAACGGACTAGCTCCGACTTGAGGAAGCTGGACAAAACATGAGCCTCGCCGAGTACGGGCCCAAGGGGCAAGGATACGAGGCGAGTCGCCCTCCTTGCCGGGGAAATCAGTTCAACAAGCAACGCTTTGATGGTATTTTTTGTTTTTTGTACAACACACTTGCAATGGCCGGTTACGTTTGTCTATCTATCGCTTTTTTCCAACTGCAACATTTTTTTTATCTTGAGCAATGCGAGCATCCCTTCACTCTCTCAAATGTGCACGTCCCTGTACTTCGTGGTTATATTTTAAAGAGGCGGATGGGGTTCTCAGGTGATTTGATTTTGCGTGGCTTTCAGGGCGTGTTGTAGCTTGAAAGCATCCATAGCTTGGACCCTCGAACTAATTTCTGCGGGGAAACCGGTCTAATTCAGTTAGACATCTGATGCCCACACCCTCCTCCGTATGATCAGGCAAAGGAGTTGTTGGACTGAGCGAAGAAGGCGGTGTCGATCGCGAAGGTGGGGCTGGCTCTCGCTATGATTACTTTCAACGTGTGCAGCGGCCTGGCACTTCCTTTGGTTAACTTCGAGGCTGCGCTCGGGACGAAAGCCGGCGGTGCCCTGTCCAAGTTAGTCGAGGAGTCGCTTAGCTCGGGCGTCGAGGCGATGGCGAGCATCGCCGGGGAGAACCTAGACAGCGAGAGGCCGGCGGACCTGCTCAGGTCCACGAGGTTGATGCTCAGGCATCAGAAGACGTCGAGGTGAAAGTTGTAATCATCCCTCTGGCCTCCACGCCTCCACGACCTGTTTTCCGCTAGCCCTAGTCAGGCCGAGAATGTCCTTCCCCACCATGGAGAACTCGTCTACGAGAATGAAATCGGCGCCAGCCATCCGCTGCCGCTGGTCTCCGCGGGCGGCCTCAGTCATATGTGGCTGAAGGAACGGTGGCCCTGTACGGGAATCCTAGAACCGCTATGGACGGTCTGTAGCAGCGACAAGTGAGTATTTTGGTTGGAGGGCAGAAAAGACGTCGGAGCGAGTCGTTGGAATCAACTCTTCAAGGATAGAGTTCAGCGCGTAAGTTGGCGGGCAATGGAGCACCTCTGTGGACGCAAACCATCTTCCGGTGCCTTCGGTTCCAGTGAGCAACAAAAGGAGAGGAGCCGTGAGCACCGGCAGGGGCCCCATCGGCCTCGCATCGTTGACTCCGCGGGTCACTTGATGAGCTGCCGCCCGGTAGTTGTCGAGGCTCGCCGCGTATTCTTCCAACAGGCGTACGGCGAGAGCTTGTTCCTTGTTGAGGACTGGCACCGGAACCACAACCGCATCCGTGGAGGTGGGGCCGGCGACGGCGGTACTGCCTTACCCGACCCAGGTTCTGGAGTCGTCGCGCACCCCTTGTGCCACTGATTGCGACTGGCATCAGTCGGGGTTGACGCCGTCGCGGCCGTCATTCCACCGCCGATCGAGGTCGTGGTCCCCAATGATTGATCTCGATCTCGCGAAAGTCTGTTAGCTCTACGGCCGGGGGAGGCACAATCGAAGACGATTCTACGGCAGCCGTAATCACAGGCTGAAAATCAGGGATCGTCGTGGGGATTGGGTCTACGTCGACAGACGGAAAAGCACAAATCGGCCGCACTACACCGGAAGTGGTGGAGGGGACGCTCGGACACGAAGGTACTATACCGTCGGATCCGGTGGGCTGGACGCCAGAAGTCGAAGGTACAACGCCGACCGATGCGACGGACTGGAAGCCGAGAGTCGAAGGTACAACGCCGACCGATGCGACGGACTGGAAGCTAGAAGTCGCACTCGCGCTCGAACTCGAACCGTTGCCCGTTCCTGCACTCTGGAAAGGGGAGGGAGTGGCCGCAACAAATCCTGCGCCATTCGTGGACGCTTGCGCAGACAAACGGGGAGGGGCATCGGGGCTTGTGGTCACAGCATTACCACTGTAATCTTGGGGCAATCTAGTAGCCCAGAGCGAGCATCCCACGTCAGAGTACGCGGAGGAAATTTTCCCTTGAAAGAGATGTACACCTGTCTCGTCTAGGACGATCCGCTGCTTACGCTGCGTGTGGTGCAAAATAAATTGAATGTGATTCCAGGCACAACGTACACGTCCGACATCTGCACGCAAAAATCACGCTCTCCTCCCTGGTCTTGCATGTGGAAGGCCATGTTGACCGTCCCCAAACATTGTACGCGAAAATAAGCACCGTTGCCAACCTGGATGTACTCCTTGCCTGTCGGCACTGGCCTCAAGTCAAACATCTGATGACTACTGCTCACAAAAGTGTTCGTCGCACCGCTGTCGGCCCAAAATTTCTCCCTGCCAAAGTGGAAAGCGGGTTCTGCACAGACAAAGCAAATCCATTACCACTCTCACGCTCGGTACTCGCTACAACACCACTCGGAACGATCTCGCCTGCAGACACGAAACGTGCCATCAAGAAGTGAAGGGAGCCCGGGGCCGGTGCTGCTGCTCCGGGAGGAGATGAGTGGGGCGGGGCATGAGTCGAGTGCTGCTGCTGCTNGTGAGTCGAGTGCTGCTGCTGCTGCGGCGGCTGCTGCTGCTGCAACGTCGGCGGAGGCGGAGGCTGTGGCGGCGGCTGCTGCTGCTCGTAGTAAGGCGTCGGTGGCGGGTAGTACGGCTGCTGCTGCTGGGTGTAGTCAGGCGGGGGCTGCTGGTACTGTGGCTGCGGCTGCTCCCAACCCCCATACTCGCTACTATTTGCGGGCCCCCCGTAGGGCGGTGCACCGTGTTCGTGGTGCATCACGTTTGCATGCCCGTGCGAGGGTCGCCATTGCTGCTGCTGCGGGCGAGGGGGGACAGAGTTTCCATACCTTTGCTGCGCTCCGCGTCCGCCGTGAGGTCCGTGCTGGGGTCCACCACCCCAGCCCCCCCCACCGCGGCCGCCTTGTTGCTGCTGCTGCTGCTGCTGTTGAGGACGAGGATGGTAGTACTGCTGTTGCTGAGGCTGCTGCGGATGATGCTGTTGAGGTTGCTGCGGAGGTTGTTGCTGCTGCGGCGGCTGTTGCTGTTGCGATGACTGCTACCGCCGCTGCTGATGCTGCTGCCTTCGCTCTTCTTCCGCTGCTGTTGATAGCACTCCGCGTTAGTGTGGGTTCCATACGGATGAAGGTGACAGTGCCGTTCTCCTCTGGTCTCGTCGCTCCTGCTCCGACCGTCGCCTTTGCCGTCCTGTCCGCCGCCGTTCCCACTCGACCCATTTGGGACACGTCCGTCGCCCCGGGGCGCACCGGAAGCGACGAAGGCGTGCCTCACGCCACTCTTTTGTTCCTCCTCCCGTGCGCGCACCAGGTCCGTGTGGGCCTCCTTCACGGAATCCTCTATCTGCTCGAAAGTCAAATCAGGGGTGCGGTCCAACAGTTTCTTCTCTAATTTGTAGTCGGATGACAGGGCGGACACCAAGTGGTCGTTGGCTTCGTTGTCGGGATACACTGTCCCGTGCGACGCTAGCCTACTCCGCAAAATACAGAACCTCCCGAAGTATTCTTGTGGGATTTCACCCTCATGCATCGCGAAGCTATGGTACTCCTTCAAGAGTCTCCTTTTCTCTGCTTTCGCTTGGGGCTCGTAATACTTGAGGGAAATCCTCCATCCCCCACTTGGGGTTCCGTCTGACACGATTTCCGAAAAGATCGGCATGTATGAGATTGACGTGATGAGTAAATTCCACGCCACTACAGCCTTAGCTACCTTCTGATCGCCATACTCAGTCTTCAAGTCTACCATGTTGATTCCTTGCCTCCCTACTGGGATGTCCTGGTCGCTCATTACTACCTCGTGAACTCCTCCTGTGCAAACCGTGCTACCATGCTTGATCTGAAAATCAAAAGCTTCTGCTGCACATTGCCCCTCTGCTTCAACACACCATCCCAAGGCTCAATTCGTCTACTCAGTCATTCGGAGTGTTGCAGGATGAGGTACTGCACCGATGTCCCCTGATGAGGTCTGGAGGCGACCGGCCATGGCAGTCGCAATCGCGTTGGCCAGCTCGTCTGCGGAGGGGTTGGGCGATGGGTCCCCAGTTACTTCTTGCTGGTGTGGTACCCCTTGTTCCTCGTTCCCGCTCCGGAGACCTTTCGTGCTCTTCTGCTCGGCTCGATGCCGCACCTCCATCTCTGCCATCTTCTTGGCCAGTTTCTCCTCCATCATCTGCTCCATCCGTGCTGCTACACCCTCGTTGACCAGTTCTTCGATCCTGGCGTCCTCCGCTGCTTGGCGGGCCTCCGCTGCTTGGCGGGCTTCATCTTCGCGCCTGGTAGCCATCTTGACCCTGCTCTCGATCGCCGCGAAGCGATACTCCCAAACCAAGCTCGACCGCGAATCTCGTGGACGACGTGTCATACGGTGGCGTGATCGATAATTCGGGTGGCTTAGTTGTATGTGCTTGGAGTTTAGAGCGGGTGGCCCATGACGGGGCGTGGATGGGTAAAAACGTGTTGGGAAACGTGTTGTATACGTGTTGTATTAATCGGGGCGTGCTCGTGCTCGTCAAACCATCACGGTATCGAGTCACGCCTTCATGCTTTCTCACACAACGAATCTCTCTGAATCCTCACCAAAAGCCTCTCACAACCAAGGAAAATATGTAGAAAGTTCATGTTCCTCCGCATCTCATCACTGCAATTTTCGTACGTACGTACTTAATAACATCTCAACCGTCATACGATGCTACGAGTACCCCCAATATATCTAATATCTCCCCCCGTTCGAGATTGTTGATCGCATCGATTGCGGAATTTTCTGCTCCACGTGCCTGAATGTTCTGATCCACGTGCGGGGAATCGCGACCAGACGCCGTTCTTGGCACGCCCACTCACTTATTTATATGCTGCGCACATCTTTCCTCGATTAGCACAATGCAGCAATCCCAGGTATTGTTGGCCAACCCATCAAGCATTCCGCCAGTTATCCAGGTAGTTCCCCGACGACGTGAATGTGGTGCTCCGGGAGCTTCACAAGCGGTGAGTGAAAACGGCTCTGCTGTAGTTGGTGGTGTCACTACAGCAGTAGCTGGGTTCACCCAGCGTTGAGGGCGGACCCTGCTTGTCTGTCTTGTAGACCCCGCCTACGTTTCTTTGCGCTTTTCGCAGCAATGAGCGTAAAAACGCAAGTGGGTGCTTGTTTGCTGGGCAGAGAGAGGGTGCGTGAAGACTTGTTGGCGCGCGTTTGCTGCACCGCACAACGAGTTCCCACGCAAAAGAACATAAAATTCTTCCTCGCACCCATATGGCCACGCTGTCTGGTGCTCTCAGCGAACAAGTGCCTAGCTCATTTTGCGGGAATATTGCTATGTACATACCGCGGGTTCATAGCCCGGTAAGGAAGCAGACACATCCACCAAGGAACGGTAGGGGATTCCGCGGGGATGGACTGCTGTACGAATGTATGTAGTATAGTCTCTCGTCAATTTTATCAACAAGGGGAGATCAGTTGCTTGTTCAAGTGGTCTCATACTCTGGATAGTGCCGGGTGCCCGCTATTGAATATGTATATGCATATCTAAGGGTTTGAACTCAAAGACACAGCAGGGAGGTGCGAACCTCCAACGCTCTATCTACAGGCGTTCCACTCAGGCAACGGTCACAGATATGGGGCGGTGTTTACGATCACCGGACAGACTGTGATTCTCAGTAAAGAGACAGAATCTCGAGATGAGATGGGGACAGAAGTGAAGAGTGAGAGGTGTGCGAGGGCACGCCCTCGCACCCCTCTCGGACGAAAGTCACGGTCAACGATCCGGGGAAGCCTCGTGGAAGGCGGCTTTAGGTCCCTCGTAACGTTGCACGCTTCCTCGTGGCTCGGGGCGTTGGCGACCTCGACATCGCCCCGAGAGACGATCTCTCCGAGGAGAACGTGAGGAACGTTCTCCAAGGTCGTAGGATATGTGGTTAAAGACGAAGTGGGTTGGGATCGTAGAGTTGTGACCCACATATCTCGTAATATGCATAGGCGGCAAAATCTCTTGGCAATGTGCGGCCTTACACAGCAGGGACTTCTACTCCGTAAATATAAATATTTGCTCTCCCACAGTCTTGCCTCTGAAGAGCGACGACGTGGATCATGATAAGCACATCATCCGATTGTGAGCAAATGTTTGGGGTTTGCAAGGAATATCGTGTGCCGCTGCTTGCCCGTCCTTCATGACGGCAGTAGAATGAGTGAATGCAAAATATTGTCCATTTTCTCTTCGTATACCCTCGTGTTCGATACTGCAGTTGAATTTGTGACGCTTTAGTTTGTTTTCGGTAGGAGGACCTCATTGCCGAAAGGACCTACGCTTGCCCTTACCCAACCACTCATCATCATAAAATTGAACTCTCACCACCGAGTTTCTCCTGACATCACCCCCCCCCCCCCCCCCCCCCCCCCCCCCCCCCCCCCCCCCCCCCCCCCC